TCATAAAGTAGGAAACCTACCTTTGGGCAAGACTCTTGCCTTGAGTGCCAGATCAATGCCACTAGGGTTTGGAACTTGAGGGAATGCCGGTGAGTGGGTCCTAGCAAATCACGGAGCTGAAAATATCGAAAAAGGTCGGAGCTATTTAAATTGAATGCAGAACGTAATTGTTCGAAACTGGCAAAAACATCATTAATGTATAAGTCACCCAGACAGCGCAGGCCATTCCTCTCCAAAGATGTAAATCGTGGGTCAATCCTAGCTGGTATAAAAAGGTGATTATTACGTATGGGCGTTGCTTTAGGGAGGGAAAGCCACTCAAAGTGTCGTCTAATTTGTGACCATACAATGTTTAGAATTTTAACTGCAGAACTCAATTAAACACTAGGTGTCTGAGTTACATATTGCTCCTTTAAAACATCTTATTTTCTTCATGGGAGATGAACAGTAAACATCCAAACATAGCACACTTCAAAGCAAAAAAAACTAGCTGCTGATGTGTTTAAATGTTTGTTTTTTTATTCTCCATCAGTGCTGCTCAGAGTCAAACCACACTGGAGTCCCTGCAGTGCCACTTCACCTGGGACCTGGTCCACAGCAGGCCGAAACTGTTACGCCTCACGCACAAGATGGAGGACATCCGCACCGAGGATGGAAATCGATGGTTGGGCCACAGTTACAACCTGTGGGGGTTCATTCAGTATAAGCTGGGGTTAAATGAAGAGGCTAAGAGTTTGTTTCAGAAGGCTGCAGAGACCCTCAACAAGCTGAGAGACGCAGATGAGGGTCCTTGGTTAGTGGTGAACTACGGGAACCTGGCCTGGCTGCACCACCACCTGGGAGATCAAGCAGAGAGTCAGGCTTACCTGTCAAAGGTTGATGCCCTGATGGAAAAATACTCATCTCCATCCCAGGACGAGCTCCATCCAGAGATCTGCGCTGAAAAGGCCTGGACCCTGATGTTCTTCGGAGAGGATAAGAAGCTGGTTGTTGATTACTTTGAGAAAGCTGCCAGGATGCAGGCGGACATGGTGGATTGGAACACCAGCTATGTCATATGGTTAAAGAACGCCCAAAACTTCAGTGACCCAAGGCTGGACCCTGACCTCTTGGAGAAAATGAGACAAGCCAAGGAACGGGATCCAGAGAACTTGTACCTCGCTGCACTCTACCTTGAACAACGTGCTGATGAAGGAGAAAACATTCGAGATGAAGTCTGTGAGTTGGCTGGAAATGTGAGCACTCTGTGCTGCAGTGACAGTGGCATGTGGGCCTTACTAAACCTTTACATAAAATACATATCAGTTGATGAGGCCGTTGATTTGGCAGAGAAAGTTCTGAACGAACATCCAGATGTGCGTTATCTGAAGAAATTAGTTGCGCTCTGCTACAGGTGGAGGATCATTTATAAAAGCAGTAGTTCCCCAGAACAAAGCATGGTGGACAGAGCAATCGCTCTCCACGAGGAGCTGATCTCTCTTTACCCTCACTCTTTACTCAAAAACGAAACAGACCTCGCAACTATCTATGCAAAGTCACATCACAGCAAGGCCAAAGCTGAGCAGATATTTCATAGACTGCTCAAAAATGAACCTGCAGAACCTTCAGACAAACAGATGCTTTACAAAATATATGCAAATCATTTATACTTTACTCTAAATGACTCCCACAGGTCGATACAGTATCACATGAAGGCAAAATCTTCCTTCCGTGAGAACAGCATCAGAATCCTAGAGGAGAATAAATACCGAGGCATAATGTGCAGAGAAATAGAGGAGTTTCTCAGAAATCTGCAAGAGCCAAGGCAGTAAAGATAGGGAGGCAGAGGTGTTTTGCTTTCAAGTGGTAATAAAGAGCAACAGAATCCTGAAGAAGAATGAAAAACAGGAGGCGTCCAAAAAATAAGGATAAAAACTAAATAAAAACGAATTTCTTGTAATTCAAAACTATTTGAAATAAATTAAAAGAAGGTTTATTTTTATTATTTTCTTAATTATTTTTATTTTGGGGCTTTTATGCATTTATTTAGAGATAGGACAGTGGATAGAGTTAGAAACAGGGGAGAGAAAGACAGAGAGAGAGAGAGTTGGGAACGACTTACTAATTCAGGACAGGCCTGAGTTCCCTTCATGACATCACAAAGGGCAGTAGCCCCTCCCCCAGGTGGGTGACACTCCCACAGCTAGGTGTTTGTTCTGCCCTCTCAGTCTGCCTTCTCACCGTAAACAGTAGGACATGGAGCGAGAAAGACTGAAGTACACCCAAGCCCTTCCAGAGAGGGGGCGTGGTCAGACACAGCTCATTTACATATTTAAAGCTACAGACACAGAAACAGCCTGTTCTAAGCAGGGCTGAAATAGAGGGGTTTATAGACATGATCAAATACAGGATCAGAGTGGATTTAGAACAAGAAACTTCACACACGTGTTTTGAGGAGCTCTGAGAATTATTTAAACTGTTTGAAGAGGAGGAGGATATGTGACTTTTAAATCTTACACCCTAGCTCCTGGTAGGTGTGACGTCCTCTGTAAAACACGGTCGTCATGGTGAATACTTAATGAAGAAATGTGTGAATCGTGATTATCATGTATTTTGCTTCTGTTGTGTTTTTTCAATGCTGTATTTTCAGTTTTTAGAATTAATGGATTTTATAAGAATGTGCTTCGCTTTGGATATTTAAAGTCCTCATTGTTCATGTGAAAATGTATTTGCTGTGTGACCTGAAAATTATATATTAAGATGCTCCTGTTTGCTCAAGCTGTGTTTAAGCTTCATACCAATAAATGAACAGTGTGCACACCAAGAAATCGTCTTGAAGTTGTTTGTTTCAGTGGTTTCACCTTCTTCAGTTCTAAACTATCAGGAAGACGGAGCTAGAAATTTAAGCCTCGTCAGATCATAAGCGTCTGACAATTATTAGAGTAAGTTATTTGGCAGAAATATTCGAGTTCAATGAACATAAATGAAAGAAATTAGGTCTTTAGACAGATTAACAACTTCACATACACTTTACTGCCTGGGTTTACAACTAGCACAGGCGCCATCTGCTGGTGAACTAAGAGTATTACAAGATGGCGTCCATAAACTGATTCATCATCATGTTGCAGAGTACGGTGAATTTATAATCTGCCGCTCTCCTCTCCGAACACACGCACGCTGGCAAACTGATCATGTATGTATGAGTATTTTATTCAGCCATTATACATCTACAATCATTTTTAAACAATACAGACAGTTCAAACAGAGTCAACAGACTCTAGAATTACCACAGTGTGTGTGATGACGTCAGGAATGTGGTCAGAGCCGTTGACAGCTTGGTCGGAGGTAGGTTAATGATGATTCATGCTCCGTCGATAAACACATTTTAAAGTATTTTTTTAGTTGTTCAGATGAAATCAAACTGTGGTTTTCAATTACTGATCATATTCGATTCATCCCGTATCAGTTCTGAGGAGTTTTGAATAATATTCATAAAGTTATTCATTAGTCATGAAAGTTAACGGCTAATGTTCTGACTCTGGCTCTCCTAAATAACACGTTTTTTTTATTTATCAGGGGAGATGTTTGATCCCGGCTCACAACACAATTCATCGGTTTCTGTTAATTTGTCTGTAAATACAGAGCCAGAACACACGAGCTGTCTCCTGAGTCCTTTCCACAACCCAGAACACACGGGGTTACATCAGCAATGCACAAACAGACCGTTATATAACATAACTTTCTACATAGGGTTGCAAACTGGTTATACTACTGCCTAACAAGTCTGTAATACGGCAGAATGAACATCCCTGCAGACATCATTTATTACAGATTGAGCTGTGTCATTACCGGTGATGTCATCATTGTCTCACGTTTAGCAGCTTTACTTTTGTCTCCAAAAAGTTTGTAACCTAACAAACCGATCTATGTAGCCATTTATCCACGACCTATAGTTGTCATGGTAACAGTTGAATAAACAAACTAGACAACGGGCTGCAGACACTCAGGCTCCATCAAAATCTGGTAATATTACTGTACCTTTTGAGTCTGCGTGGTTCCTTATCTTCTCACAGCGTCTCTGCCGGCTTCCTCACCCTTTGTTTGTCAACAAATGCACGTGGTGTCAGAGGGGGAGGCGTGACCGTTTTTATGACACTGCAGTTGCACTCAGAGACCTCCTGATGGCGCCAAAGTGCACCAAAACTGACAACATATTGAGGCTTTGAGTTTTAATTCTTAAGAAAGGAAAGGAAAGTCACATAACATCCTGCTGATAAGGAAAGTGTCACGCCTCTATCACGGACAATTAAAGCTGCTGCTGCACATCACGCCATCCAGACTAGAGAGCTGAACCTGGAGCGACTGTAACCAGAGAGCACCATCAAGAGGAAACATCTGCTCGACTAAGTCATCTTCAGAAAACGACTCAGAGGAAGAAACAGTAGAAAGATGAGGTGAGTATCTGACTTGCATACGAATGTTTACATGTTTTTAATTTATTAATTCCAAACCCTTTCCTTTTAGTCTTTTTCTTCCCCTTTAGCTTCATTATTTTAGTGTTTCATAAATTTACTTTTCTCACTTTGTTGCTTTTGTGACTTTTTGTTTGTCTGGGGTAAAATAATAATAATACATTTTATTTATAAGTTTCAATTTCAAGACACTGTACATTTGTTAAAAAGACAGAAGGATCAGAACAGTAAGGACAGACTAACAGACATTACAACATTACACACAAATCATAAATAAAACAACATGAAGGTGCAGCGACAGATTAACAGATCACACATCACAATCATAGATTAAAAGCTTATTTGGAGAGGTGAGTTTTGATTAGTGATTTGAATGTAGAAGGGTCAGTGCAGTGTTGAATGTGTGTAGGGAGTGAGTTTCCAGAGGGAGGGGGCAGCTATGGAGAAGGTTCTGTCCCCCCAGGTTCGTTCCTTGGTTCTAAGTGGGGGAGACAGGAGGTTGGCTTTTAAAGAATGGAGGCTGCGTGCAGGAGTGTGAGGGTGAACTGTGAGATAGGAGGGGACCTGGTGGTTAAGGGCTTTATGTGTAAGGAGCAGGATTTTGAATCGGATACGGTACGGGACAGGGACCCAGTGGAGATATGTAGGACAGGGGTGAGGGGTTCACTGGATCGGGTGTGGGTGAGACGGGGTGCAGCACAGTTCTGGATGTATTGGAGTTTATTAAGGACTTTGGATGATCATTTTTAGAAACAGAAGGGTATCAAGTGTATCACATTAAGCTAATATTAATAAAAACAAGTTAAAGATGGATTTTGATAAACTGTTGTCTGTCGGTGAGGTAGGATTTTAACCAGGAAAGAGCAGTGCCAGTGAAGTTGAGTGAGTGTTCTATGCTGGATAGAAGCATCGCATTCAAGCAAGCTCGGTTCACCCCTCTGCTCAAAAAACCCACACTAAACCCAGCCCAGGTTGAAAACTACAGACCGGTTTCTCTTCTGCCCTTTCTGTCAAAAATACTTGAGCGCACAGTCTTTAAGCAAGTCTCTGAGTTCCTGTCCAGAAACGATCTTTTTGACCCAAATCAGTCACGCTTTAAGCGGGGCCACTCTACTGAAACTGCACTACTGTCAGTAACAGAATCGTCAGTCCTCAGTTCTATTACTGCTAGACCTGTCTGCTGCCTTTGACACAGTCAACCATCAAATCCTCCTATCCACGCTCTCTGAACTTGACATCTCAGGATCTGCCCTCTGCTGGTTCGTGTCCTACCTCTCTGGGCGATCCTATAGAGCAGGGGTGTCCAAACTTTTTTTCTTGCAGGCCAAAATTGTCGTGTTAGAAACGCTCGCGGGCCACAGGTTTTTTTCTTACCCTTTTAAATGTAGTTGAAAAAATAGTAAGGCTTTGTAGATCAGAATCAAAAGAAACCCTTTCATAAAAGGGAATCAAATATTTTGATTTCTTCGTTCTACTTTATTAGTTTTTTTCTCAGAGCCTGTAACATGGTTCATTTAGCTCAGGTCATTAAATGGTTAAACAACAGTCCGCTTGTTTGCAAAATTTTGCATATGTTTTTTTTTCATAGTTTACAAAAAAATGTGGAAAATAGTAAAATCTGTAGATTTAAAACAACAACATACATGTTACTGAACATTTTCTGTTTTAGGAATATTGTTCAGCACTTGTTAATATGAAAAATAAGATAACGTGCCAATCTTAATCAATAAAATCTTCTGATTCTTCATTTGAAGTCGCGGGTCAAATGGCCCTCGGGCCGCACTTTGGACACCCCTGCTATAGAGTGTCGTGGAAGGGAGAAGTGTCCAAAGCGCACAGCTTATCCACAGGGGTACCTCAAGGGTCAGTGCTTGGTCCCCTTCTCTTCTCCATATACACAAGCTCAATTGGTTCAATAATCCGCTCTCATGGCTTCTCATACCACTGCTATGCTGACGATACCCAGCTCTTCCTGTCATTCCCACCAGACGATGTTACAGTCTCTGCAAGAATCTCATCATGCCTTGCTGATATCTCTAAATGGATGAATGAACAGCACCTTCAACTCAATCTTTCAGAGACTGAGCTCCTTATCATCCAGCCAGTCCCTCTATGCAACCACAGATCAATATCCAGCTTGGAACAACCAAACTCATGCCCACAAAGTCTGCCCGGAACCTGGGTTTCATGATCGATGACCAGCTAACTTTTAAGGTTCATGTAGCTTCGATTGCCCAGTCATGTCGATTTGCCCTGTACAACATCAGGAAGATCAGACCTTACCTGTCAGAACACGCTACACAGCTCCTGGTACAGGTTCTTGTGATATCACGCATCGATTATTGCAACTCTCTACTGGCAGGTCTTCCTACATGCACTATCAAACCTCTGCAAATGATACAAAATGCAGCAGCACGACTGGTCTTCAACCTTCCAAAAGAGCACATGTCACTCCGCTGTTCATCTCCTTACACTGGCTCCCAGTTACTGCTCGCATCAAATTTAAAACTCTGCTGCTCGCTTA